TCCAGTATAGTCCCAATGGTACTATCGAATACATTTTTCTCTAGGTGCATGACATCGATAGAATGGCGTATGTCTAAATCTTTCCAGTACGGAAGGTACTTAAAAAAAATGGAGTACTTCTTGAATGGCACGCTAGGGCTTGCTGGCACTTTGGCATCATTTCTCTTCCGCTTATTTGTTTCCTTCTTTTTTACCTTCCCAAAAACAACCTTCAGGTTTTTGGTCATTCTGAACACTTTATCACCTTCTATGGTTCTGGTGCATCACCTTCCTCAACAGTACCATCGAAATATTCTGCTTGGGAGCGGTACGAGTGATTCTTTCTCAAGAAACGCCGGTGCCGCATGTACACTAGCTTCTTCGATCCCTTAAGATACCTGTACACGGTACCATCCACACAAATAATGCAACCCGTCTTTCCCTTGATCTGTCCTAATAGGGAAAACAGTGCGGGCAAGTCGTTGACGGTGACAAAGATAATTGCATGTAGCGTGAAGTACTCCCGCAGGAATTAATCCCAAACTCGGATCCCGTGTTCCCACAAATAGCGCATATCCTCCAGCAAAGGCTCCAGAAACACATCCATGTCATTGCCAGGTTGTCGTGGTCCCTGTACAAGGATGGTCAACAAGATATACTTCCTTTTCTGACACAGCTACGTTGGGAGGTTGTACAAGGTTAGGAGCACTGGCCACGTGCTGTGTGAGCTGCTCAAGTCACCGAATGGATTCATTCCATCGGTGCTCAATGCAAACCTTACGTTTCTTGGGTCCTCTGCAAACTTATGATACTTTCTGTCAAATTCCTTCCACTATCTTGCATCTGCAGGATGTCGAATCATCCCATCCTTTTTTCGCTTTTCGTGATGCCAGCGCATCAATTCGGCATCCCTCGGGTTTGAGAACAAATGCTTCAAACGATCTTTCACCGGAAGGTACCACATGACAAGCTGGGGAATCTTCTTTTTGTTACTGTCTTTGCATGGATTGGACTCTTCTACATCGTCAAGGGCAACATCCAGACCCTCGGACTGGCTACGGCTTGTTTTGTATCGACTACTCTTGCATGTTGGGCATTTGTCCAAATCCTCGTACTCTTTACGGAATAGGATACAGTGGTTAACACACGCATGTATCTTTCGCACACCCAGTGACAAAGGGCATATAAGCTTCTTCGCTTCATTTGTGCTTGTTGGCAGGGAGTTGGGTTGCGGAAAAAATTTCTTTGACAGAACCAACAAGTCGTTAAAACTACTGTCGGACCAACCATTTCTGGCATTCAATCTCATAAGCTCAAGCACTGTCCGCAACAATGTGAAATCCTTCTCACAGCCCTTTGCCTCATTGTACAAAAGATCATTCGTTGCCTTTTTCAATGCATCAAAGTTATCCAACCCACGAGCGAACCCAGCAACAACCTCAGTTTCAGCATGACGCAACATCTCTTCCAAATCTGCAAAATTACCATCATCTACGCTGACATTACCATCATCGGCATCATCAACTGTATTGTGTTGACCATTGCCAGACATTACCATTATCGGCATCATCAACTGTATTGTGCTGACCATTGCCACCAACATGAACATCATCATCATCAACGGGTTCTACTGCATGCACTTCTTCTTCTTCTTCTTCAGCTACTACAATGACATCCTCGTACCAGCTTGTCACGCCCGGAATTTCTATCCAAAATTCCAAACGCTTACATGTGTGTAAACCCTCGTCCAGGAATCAGCCGAGGCACACAAGAACAAATTGATAATAGAGTACAATTATTATTCTAATTACTAAGCGAATAAAATGTCATTACAGAGGCAGATAGTTCCTCTCAATCAATAAAGTTCTAAGCAGCGGAAAATAAGATAAACAGCGCAGACGACTCCATTCCACAGGCAGCCTGACCAGGGCTACGCCTAATCCTCCACACCATCAGCATCACTGTCGAACTCCTCCTCTGATGAATGATTGCAAGGTGAGTATATGACATACTCAACAAGCCACGCAGCAAATATGCAAATGCAAGGGATAACAAAGGATGGCATAATATAGGCTCATTTGCATAAATAGCATTTAATAAATATTGCAGAATTTAATAAAATAGTAAAGTATTTAATAAGCAATATTAATTCAACGCTATACAACATACCCTGTTGCATAGGCCCAACCATGATCTATGCCCAAACCAGGAATATACCATTCCAAACCAGGAGATAAACAAGTCATTATCATCAACATTTATTATAGTGAGAGGTATGAAACTAATCACGAAAGACATTGTTAGACCCGCCCATAACCGCGGGCACGGCTATTCGAATAGTTTTAACTCTGGCCAGAGATGTACCACTGTACCCACAAGACACAATCTCAACATCATGTCAACCATGCGTCGCGATACTTAACAAGTACCCGAATAGAGATTGTGAACGGTTTGCACGGTTAATGTTTCACAACCGAAAATCGTGAACCGGTCCTTAATTGTCATGAGCACGACTATCAAAACCATGTGCTCACAACCCACCATTATCAGGTTTTAATTGGCACATTAATTAATTAACCAATCACGATCAACCATCGTGAGCTATCATTAAGCCATCATTATATAGTAGTGAATCATAAGTATCCCCTTTATATGAGCTAGTGTCTCTAAGCAGGGCTAAGCATCCTATTCACTTTAGCAAAAACCATATAATGTTCTAGCTAATGAAATTATTAACCAGGTGACAAAGAATAGGGAATCAAATAGCAAAAGGGCTATAACAAGGCAATAGGTTATTTCCACCCAATGACATTCAAAAATAAATGCAATAGTTGAATAGAAACAATAGCTTTAAACGGGATCAACATGCTCAAAGGGTTGTTTGGGATCTGTGTGACTTGCTTTGTTGGCCTTGGAACTCTTCAAAGTCTTCTCCTGCAAAGTCGGACTCTCCGGGAACGTCGGAATCTAAGGAGAAAACAGCAAAATCACCAAAACAGCACATAAAAAAGCATGAACAATATATGTGGATATTTTTAACATGTAGATCTCAATTTTAGAAAAATTTAGAGACTTGAACCAACTAAATCCGAGTTAATACGAATTAGTTATGAATTTTTAAAGATTAAATCAGATTAAATCATTTATATAGATTTTAATTGAATTATGACGCAATAAAGAATTATTTTTGAAAAGAAAAAGGAATTATTGCGTCAGCGGGCTCGGCTCACGGTGGACCGGGTGCACGGCAGCGTTCTACGGAAACGAACGACCGAGATCTATCTAATCCACAGCGGTCCACGGGAAACGGCGTCGATGACGTCAGCGGTGACGTCACCACCGGCGGCGGCTCGGCCTCGCATGCTCACCGGTGAAAGACGGCGTGGCGGCACAAACGGACGGCACCTACGGATAGCGGGCGACACGACGAACTCACCGGTGACCCAAACAACGGCGGATGGTCAACGGACGGCGACGGCGACGAGGATGGAGCGGCGGCAACGATCGGATCGACTACGACGGCAGTGCTCCGGCAATCCTCGGCGGAAACGGAGGGCGGGATGAGGACGGCGACGGCTTGGCGATCACGATGGCGGCCTTCCCGAGCGACGATGACGGCCGGAGCGGCGGCGGCGCACGGCTGAACTCGCGGCGGTGACGGTGGCGCAAAGGCTCACGCGGAGGCGGCGCTACAGGCGACGGCGGGCTAAGGCGAGGGTGGCGGTAGAGAGAGGAGGTCCCAGGGGTCCTTAAATAGGGGCTAGCGAGCGGCAACGAAGGCCCACGGCGGCCGGCGACGGGAAGGAAAGATTAGGGTTCGGGAGAGAGAGAGGAATCTGATTCGAGATCGAATCCGGCACTTTCCAAACAATATTAGCCGATGATTTCAAAAGAGAAAAGATAGAGGAGATCGAGAAGATCGTTTCCCCTCAATCAATTTGACCGGAGATGGAAAGGAGCGACGGAATTAGGAAGGACGGCGGCGGCGGCTCGGGCGCGGCCAAGCGGCGAGAGGAAGACGACGAGTCTGACAGGTGGGCCCCACCTATCAGCGGGAGGGAGAGCGCGCGCGCGGCGGCTGCGCTCGGCTGTGGGCCGACCTGGGCCGAAGAGAGAGAGAGAGGGGGTTTTGGGCCGACTTTCGGCCCAAAGCCAAAAGGGGATTTTTAAAACCTTTTCCAATTTAAAGTATTCATGAAATGCAATTCCATTTATTAAAAATACTTCCTTGGCTCAAATAAATCCAAGAAAAATCTAGGAACTATAGAATCAAGTAAAGTATTTAATAAAATTTTGTCTAGCCCACTTTTATATTGGAATTTATTATTTAAAATTAGATCTTTTTTTCTAGGCTTTTAAATTTATTTCTAATAATTCCAATTAAACAACAATTTATATTTTTGGGATTTTTTGGGTGTGACAAACCCACCCCCCTTAAACAGAATCTCGTCCTCGAGATTCGGAAGAACTAACGAAAAGATGCGGATGAGCTGACTTTAATTCATCTTCTCGCTCCATGGTAGCTTCTTCTTCCGAGTGATTACTCCACTGGACCTTACAGAAACGGTTAACTCGATTCCTGGTTCTTCTTTCATCTGTCTCCAAGATACGGATTGGTTTCTTGACATATGTCAGATCCTCTTGGACTTCTATCTGTTCAAGATTAGCTTCCTTAGTGGGTACCCTTAAACACTTTTTCAACTGTGACACGTGGAACACATTATGGACATCAGCCAAGGATTGAGGTAACTCCAACTGATAGGTGACCTCTCCTCTTCTACTGACAATCTTGTAAGGTCCCACAAAACGCGGTGCCAATTTCCCTTTGGTGTGAAAACGATGAACCCTTCGAAGAGGCGTGACACGAAGGTACACATGATCCTCTTCCTCAAAACTTAGATCCCTGCGGCGATTATCAGCATAACTCTTATGACAAGACTGAGCTATACGCAATCTTTCCTGAATGATCTTTACCTTTTCTTCTGCCTCTCTCAAAATATCGGTCCCGAAAACCTGACGTTCTCCCGTTTGATCCCACAAAAGCGGAGTGCGGCACTTCCGACCATACAGCGCTTCATAAGGAGCCATTTGAAGACTAGCTTGATAACTGTTGTTGTATGAGAATTTTGCGTAAGGCAGATTCTTATCCCAACTTCCACCGAAGTCTAAAGCACGAGCTCTCAACATGTCTTACAAAATCTGATTTACCCTTTCAGTTTGTCGATCTGTCTGCGGATTTTAAGCGGTACTGAAGTTCAGCTTGGAACCCATCTCTTCCTGAAGCTTCTTTCAAAACTTTGAAGTAAACTGGCTACCTCGATCGGATACTATCTTCTTAGGAACACCATGCAAACACACAATCCTTGCCATATACAATTCCGCCAAACGGCTTCCGGAATATGTTGTCCTCACTGGGATGAAATGAGCCACTTCGGTATGTCTGTCGACTATCACCCAAATAGAGTCATGTCCTGATGACGTTCTGGGTAGACCAGTGATGAAATCCATACCGATTTCCTCCCACTTCCATTCTGGTATCTTCAAAAGCTGCAGCAAACCTGCGGGTTTCTGATGTTCTGCCTTGACTCGCTGACAAACATCACACACAGCTACATATTCGGCTATCTCCCGCTTCATACTTGCCCACCCAAATTTTTCCTTGAGGTCTTGGTACATCTTAGTACTACCAGGGTGAATAGAGTATAAGGTGTCATGAGCTTCCCTCAAGATCGCATCTTTTAACTCCTTGTTGTCTGGGATACAGATTCTCTCACCCAACCATACAGTTCCTTGCTCATCTTCCAAGAAACCGATAGCTTTTCCTCTTCTCATATTCTTCTTGATCTCTTGAATATCAGGATCATTAACTTGAGCTTCTCTAACCTGGTCAATGAGAGTGGGCTTCGCTTCTAAGGCTGCAACGAAACCTCTACTGACGATTCCCAAATTCAATCTTTCAAATTCCTTGCATAACTCCAACGGCAACTGTCGTCCTTCCGTAGCATTGCAATAGCCTTTCCTGCTAAGAGCATCTGCTACAACATTGGCCTTTCCTGGGTGATAATGAATTTCTATGTCATAATCCTTAATCAGTTCCAACCATCTCCGCTGCCTCATGTTCAGATCTGGCTAGGTGAAGATATACTTCAAACTCTTGTGATCCGTGTACACATCCGTACGAGTACCAAAGAGGTAGTGACGCCAAATCTTCAACGCATGAACAACTGCGGCTAACTCAAGATCATGAGTAGGGTAGTTCTTCTCATGCAGACGTAACTGACGAGATGCATAGGCAACCACCTTCCCATCTTGCATCAGAACACAACCTTAGATGCGTCGCAGTACACTTGGAAACCCTTCTTTGGATCAGGCAGAATCAAAATAGGTGCTGATATTAAGCGGCTTTTCAATTCTTGAAAACTCTGCTCACACTCTTCTTACCACTTGTACTTCACATCTTTCTGAAGCAGTCGTGTCATGGGCTTAGCAATCTTGGAAAAATTTTCTATAAACCTCCGGTAATAACCTGCAAGACCCAGGAAACTACGGATCTCTGAAACTATCTTCGGTTGTTTCCAGTTGGTTATGGATTCCACATTACTAGGATCAACGGCAACTCCTCCGGCTGAGATGAAGTGACCAAGGAACTTTACTTCGGACAACCAAAATTCACATTTGCTAAACATGGCATACAGTTGATGCTCTCGTAGCTTCTTTAGTGCAAGACGAAGATGTTCTTCATGCTCTTCTTTGGTTCGAGAGTAGATAAGAATGTCATCAATAAAGACTACCACGAACTTGTGCAGGTATTCCATAAACACCTTATTCATCAAGTTCATGAAGAAAGCGGGGGCATTGGTAAGTCCAAAAGACATAACAGTACATTCAAACAACCCATACCGAGTGGTAAAAGCCGTCTTAGGTATATTTTCCTCTTTGATCCTCAACTGATGATACCCTGATCGAAGATCGATCTTGGAGAAAACGGTGGCACCTTTAAGCTGATCAAACAAATCATCAATTTTGGGCAGCGGGTACTTATTCTTGATAGTCACATCATTTAGTACACGATAGTCCACACACATCCTCTGGGTATGATCTTTCTTTTCCACAAAGATGACTGGAGCTCCCCATGGAGACGAACTTGGTCTAATGTAACCTTTTTGAAGCAAATCATCTACTTGCCTCTTGACTTCTGCTAATTCATTGGCTGCCATTCTATACGGTCTCTTATGGATCGGAGTTGTTCCTAGTACCAGATCTATTCTGAATTCAATATCTCTTTTAGGCGGCATGCTGGGTAAATCATCCGGGAACACATCCGGGTAGTCCCATACTATGGGAATCTCTTCCAAAGTTATTTGATTAAAACTTGACCTTGAGGGCTCAGAAGGCAATGCATGAACAGTTACAACTTGACCATCATTGCTGGTGAGAGTTACTTTTCTATTGGTACAATCTATCACACCTTTATATCGGGCTAACCAGTCCATCCCTAGGATGACATCAAGGTCATTGGATTCTAACAAAATAAGGTTGGCCAGAAATGGTACACCTTGAATCTCTATTCTGACAGAAGGGCTACGTTGCGATAAGAGTGCCTGGTTACTCGGGGCACTAACCATCAAAGGACGTCTAAGATCTTCTATCTCCATCCCATGATTTCCCGCAAAACTCATAGATAAAAAGGAATGTGTAGCACCAGAATCAAAAAGCACTGTTGCAGGAACTGAGTTAACAGGGAACGTACCCAAAATCACATCTGGAGCACCTTGAGCTTCTGCAGCAGCCACATGATTGACTCGAGCCTTTGTCGCTGGTGCGGTGGAGTTGTTCTGGGCAGGGACAACCTTCACGCGGCGGGGCTTCGGACACTTGTCGGAGTAATGACCTAGTTCCCCACAGTTAAAGCACACTCCTGGCTTGTTTCCTTGCTCCCTCTTGGCAGGTTGATGCTGAATTAGAGTTGCAACAGGGCGTAGAGCTTGGTTGCGGTTGTTGTTGCCAGCATTATTGTTGAAGAACTGACGTTGCGGATGAACAACAGATGAAGACCCTCCCTGTGACACTGCCTGAGGTCCCATAACAAGACGCGGCCTCTGACTATTCCCCTGCTGAGCTTTGAAGTGAGCAATCCTGCGTTTCTTCTGCTCCATTCGGTTGTACTTGTCCTCCTGGCGAATAGCCTTATCCACCAACTTCTGGAAATCATGATAATCCCCAGTCATTAGTGGGTAAGAAAGCTCATCATTCAACCCTTCTAAGAACTTCTCTTGGCGCTCTTCATCAGTGCGCACATCTTCCAGACGATTGAATTCATGCAGATATTCAGTGACAGAGCGAGATCCCTGAGTGAGCGCACTGAACTCCTTCTTCTTGAGAGACACCACTCCTGATGGTATGTGCGTCTTCCAGAAAGCAGCAATGAACTCAAGCCAAGTGATAGGTTCCGCAGTAGTCCTATTGAGACGGAAGTGATCCCACCACTCAGAAGTAGAGCCATGAAGCTGATGTGAAGCGAAGGAGACTTTTTCTTGATCGGTGCACTGAAGCAGGTCCAACTTCTTTTCTATTGCGTGCAACCAATCACCAGCCTCGACTGGATTGGTAGTGCTAGAAAAAGTGGGCGGCCTTACACGGAGAAATTCTGCTAACTTGTTCTTGGGAGGTGCATGGTTATTTCCCTGGTTCTGCTGGTTCTGGAGTTGCTGCATCATCATGCTCATGAGCTGTGCCTGTTGAGCCAGGACTTGGGCAAGCGTGGGATTCTCCCTATTGTTGTTGTTGTTGTTGTTGTTGTTGTTGTTGGGGCCATTCCCATTACTGCGAGTAAGCACCATCTGGCATAGACAGGAGCACAATAAGAGAAACAAGGGGGAAAATTACTTAGGATAGGGAATTAATTTTTACTAACTTAACTTTTATTGATCTTAACTGAGTTTCATTATTACACTATAACTGAAAGCTCTCACACCACTAACTCACCAACTTCCTAACACTCGAAAGCAAACAAACACATGTATTTACATCCCACCAATGATGTAAACCACATGCAAGACCCACACACACAACTAAACTTAAACAAGCAAACTAACACAACGATCCAAGGCAACGACTTAACAAGGCATTCTAGGTCTTCCAGGCATCGGAGTTGATTGAAGGCTCGTTCGGCTCATCCCCATCATCTTGAGTAGCTCCCCACTCAACCTTGGAATGGGTGCGCTTCGACTCTTCTCCGTCATCATCACTTACGTTGACGACCGGAGGATCCGCTGGGGCTGAGGCAGCTTCTTTTTCCACCACACGAACCTTTGGCGCCAACTGGTAGCGAGGGACAAAAAGAGCTCTCTTCCTTGCGGTAAGACGAACCCTGGCCTTTTGTGGTGGTGCTTCTCCCTTCAATGCGGCTAGTTCCTTCTCCAAACGATCCACCTTGTCCTCCAGCTTGCAAATCTTACCACGATTCCGGTCTTCGCGATCTTGAGCTGCTAACACAATCTCAGTGCGGGACTCATCCATGGCCCACAGCATTTCCACCAAATGCCTTGTGGTAGCATCATTCTCAATTCCTGCAGGTTCAATATAACTGCCACGGCCACTTCCCTGAGGTTGACGAGGATGGTAGCGATACTCAGTGTTGGCCAACTGATCATTGTAGCTTTCGCAGAGCTCTCCTATGGCGATCCTTGCCACCTCCTGACAAGCATGAATGTAGTTTCCCCCTCCAGCCTCGAACATCACCGATGGGATATCTTAACGATTATTGTTCAAGGTGACTCTGACACGACCCTTCTCTTCATCACGATCATGAGGAATCTGGGCATACAAAGGGGTAGTCCCGAATCCTATGAGGAAGGACAAATCCCTTAGTACCAAATAAGTACTCAAGCTTGAAGCACGGCATCTAAAGACAAGTGAAAGGAGGGAGTTAAGACATTTATCCAATTAATAGCACAAGTTTTTGAATTATTTGATTAAAGCTAGAAAATCAAAATAAAAGGTAAATAAATAAAGTAAACCAATCTTTGCAAGATAAGTTGAGACAGTTGAAAACGAGATCATAAATTTTGCACTTTTGAATAACAGGTTTCAAAAGAGATAAAATAAAAGAGAGTTATAAAATCAGCATGCTAAGCTTATTTAATTGCAGCAGGACTAAATAAAACAATGTTATAAAACTTTTGCTGGTAAATGGGCCATTAGTACAGTAATAGATGTACGGTACTAATAACACAGGAAATAATAAATAAATTTTGAATGAGAACAATTAAAGAGACTATAACTGCATGTGCCATTAGTTTGGTTTAATTAAAAGAGAAAGAGAGGAGAATAGTTCTACTTTTCCAATATTTTTAGAGAGCTTCTATGGGTAACCATTTGGAATAACCTAGGGTCAAGGAGGCTTTGATACCAACTTGTCATGCCCGGAATTTCTATCCAAAATTCCAAACGCTTACATGTGTGTAAACCCTCATCCAGGAATCAGCCGAGGCACACAATAACAAATTGATAATAGAGTACAATTATTATTCTAATTAATAAGCAAATAAAATGTCATTACAGAGGTAGATAGTTCCTCACAATTAATAAAGTTCTAAGCTGCGGAAAATAAGATAAACAGCGCAGACGACTCCATTCCACAGGCAACTTGACCAGGGCTACGCCTAATCCTCCACACCATCAGCATCACTGTCGAACTCCTCCTCTGATGAATGATTGCAAGGTGAGTATATGACATACTCAACAAGTCACGCAACAAATATGCAAATGCAAGGGATAACAAAGGATGGCATAATATAGGCTCATTTGCATAAACAACATTTAATAAATATTGCAGAATTTAATAAAACAGTAAAGTATTTAATAAGCAATATTAATCCAACGCTATACAACATATCCTGTTGCATAGGCCCAACCATCCTGAATAACCAAACCCGGCTGCATAGATCTATCTCCAAACCAGGAATATACCATTCCAAACCAGGAGATAAACAAGTCATTATCATCAACATTTATTATAGTGAGAGGTATGAAACTAATCACGAAAGACATTGTTAGACCCGCCCATAACCGCAGGCACGGCTATTCGAATAGTTTTAACTCTGGCCAGAGATGTACCACTGTACCCACAAGACACAACCTCAACATCATGTCAACCATGCGTCGCGATACTTAACAAGTACCCGAATAGAGATTGTGACAATACCCTCTACATAACACAATTCAAAGCAGTGCACCATTCCCGGATCATAATCACCCCCTTGTAAACAAGGCATGGACCCCCCAGCGACCCCTGTGGGCTTATCTCTGCCACTTCACAGTCTGGTGCTCCACAATGAACTATATTATACAGAAAGTAAAGCTGTTGCCCACGCTGGCTTGTGGTTTGCACGGTTAATGTTTCACAACCGAAAATCGTGAACCGGTCCTTAATTGTCATGAGCACGACTATCAAAACCATGTGCTCACAACCCACCATTATCAGGTTTTAATTGGCACATTAATTAATTAACCAATCACGATCAACCATCGTGAGCTATCATTAAGCCATCATTATATAGTAGTGAATCATAAGTATCCCCTTTATATGAGCTAGTGTCTCTAAGCAGGGCTAAGCATCCTATTCACTTTAGCAAAAACCATATAATGTTCTAGCTAATGAAATTACTAACCAGGTGACAAAGAATAGGGAATCAAATAGCAAAAGGGCTATAACAAGGCAATAGGTTATTTCCACCCAATGACATTCAAAAATAAATGCAATAGTTGAATAGAAACAATAGCTTTAAACGGGATCAACATGCTCAAAGGGTTGTTTGGGCGACGGCGGGCTAAGGCGAGGGTGGCGGCGGAGAGAGGAGGTCCCGGGGGTCCTTAAATAGGGGCTAGCGAGCGGCGACGAAGGCCCACGGCGGCCGGCGACGGGAAGGAAAGATTAGGGTTCGGGAGAGAGAGAGGAATCCGATTCGAGATCGAACCCGGCACTTTCCAAACGATATTAGCCGATGATTGCAAAAGAGAAAAGATAGAGGAGATCGAGAAGATCGTTTCCCACAATCAAATTGACCGGAGATGGAAAGGAGCGACGGAATTAGGAAGGACGGCGGTGGCGGCTCGGGCGGCTAGGGCGCGACTGGGCGGCGAGAGGAAGACGACGAGTCTGACAGGTGGGCCCCACCTGTCAGCGGGAGGGAGAGCGCGTGCCCAGCGGCTGTGCTCGGCTGTGGGCCGACCTGGGCCGAAGAGAGAGAGAGAGAGGATTTTGGGCCCATTTTTGGCCCAAAGCCAAAAGGGCATTTTTAAAACCTTTTCCAATTTAAAGTATTCATGAAATGCAATTCCATTTATTAAAAATACTTCCTTGGCTCGAATAAATCTAAGAAAAATCTAGGAACTATAGAATTAAGTAAAGTATTTAATAAAATTTTATCTAGCCCACTTTTATAATGGAATTTATTATTTAAAATTAGATCTTTTCTTCTAGGCTTTTGAAATTATTTCTAATAATTTCAATTAAACAACAATTTATACTTTTGGGATTTTTAGGGTGTGACACAGCTCAACACTTCGTCGCGTACTGTAGCCTGGTTCGGAACTTGCTTGCTTGGGATCTCTCCATGATGTGACCAGTTTGTGTAGCGATCAACAAATCCATGCGTCACCAAGTGTTGCTCGATTACAGATGGATCGTTCCAACTTTTCTGTTTTTGCAATGCACGCATGGACATCTAATATCTTTGGTCTTCTTAGATGCAGCATTCTTCTTAGCTATTTTCATGAATATGTCGACTCCTTCAATGTACGACGCACGATATCTCTCTTTATTCATCCATGCCCTGTCCGCCATCTATGCATTAATTAATTAATTGTGGAAAAAATAATATAAATTTAGTTAGTTTAAATATTTTGAACAAGATAATTAAAGCTAGCCAAAAATCTGCATATATAAAACATACATCCCTCGGACGAATTACCAAATATTTTTCAAACGCCATGAAAAATCGATTTTCTTATCAACGTGATTATCAAAACGTACTGTCACGAGTTTGTGCTAATAAATACTACTGTCCCTGCATAGATAAAAATGTGGTTAGCATTTGTATAGTTAATTGTACTAGCACGTATTTACTGACCGATGTGACGGTGATAGAGAGCTAAGTGAACAAATTCGTTAAACTAAAATATGTCACTTTCAGTATTCCGAATTAGATTAATTTTTTATGGGACATAGTACTAGTTACTACCATTATTTCACCTTCTTATGTAACTCACCGTTGAATGCATCCATTTTACTTTTAATTCTCTATTTTTCCTCTTTTTTTGGATTGAAAAGACCTTTGATCTGTTTGTCTCGAGCAGACAATTCACGCCTACCAGCTTTTTCTCGTGAGGTTTCGTCTTTTTTTCTTCCCATTCTGAAAAGGGCTCTTTTGCGGTAGAGGTAGGATCTTACAAATCGTATCTTAGTATAAATTTGATGTCGACTAACTTCTAAAACTTAACATGCAAGTGCGCCACATCATCATCCACTATCAAGTATTTTAAATTACATATAAATGTGTCATGTCATTAATAAATAGCAATTATTATCTAGAGTATTTTAAATATCATGTAAACATGACATATTATTTACAATTTTGTTGTATTTTTAGAACTCAATATGCAAGCAATGCCAAATCATTACGTCCAAATTATTTAAACATATACATCTACCATTTTTATTTATAATGTATAATATGCATTCATCCACAAATCACGCAACAAAGCACGTGGTATCAACTAGTAAATCTATATACTTTCCACCCCTCATTAATAAATGAGAGCAGAACGGGAAAGCATTAGTGCCCATAATTATTCTTTATAAATTTTAATAAATCACTAAAGGAATATGCAATAAAAATATCTTTTCGAAATTCTCCACTGTTTTAAAATCACAAATTGCAGATACAAGAATTTCAAAATATTAATTTGAACTTTCCATAAGCATTTAAAGGCATATAGTCTGAATATACATATTGAGCAATTATATTATCATTGATGAGGTATATACATATGATTTTGAAAATTAAAATTACCTTTTTCACATAGTTACTTGAATTTTAAAAAAATGGCAAAGCTATACAATTTTTTTTCCAAATCTATTAATAATTTAAAGTTTTTAAATGAAACATCCATTACAAACTGAAACTTTTTAGTTCAAATTATAAGATGGAAACTGATATTTTAATTCAAAATTGGACCATGATATTTTGTATTTTATACTATTATTATGACTGGTTGGAAATTGATATTTTAATTCAAAATTGGACCATGATATTTTGTGTTTTATATGAATTTTAAAATAAAACTAAGGAAACTATACAATGGAATTTAATAAATAGAAATAGATGATATTTTACCAAATTCGGTAAGATCAAAATTAATTAGCCCTTGAGTCAATGGGCAATGAACTTTTTTTTCACAATAACTTGATGCCGCCTAAAAATATATATACTGTCATCCTAGTAATTTCTTTACATGATCAAATATATCTTTGTTGGTGATTAATTAAGAAAAGGCTTCATAACTCATCCGATTGAGCTCGTACTTTGTCCAAAATATTGAAGGAAAAACAAGATAGACGGAAATGGGAGCAAGAACTAATGGCACTCTCCCACGAACTAATGGCAGTACTCTCCCACAAGAACCACAGACCAACATGAGTCATGACATTGGTCTATCTGAAGAATCAGGGAGCGAAACTGAAGAATATGACAGTGACACTAGCCTATCAGAGAAAGCAGAAGAGAGGATCGACAGACGGCTCCTATTAGCAGCCAGATCCGGTGATTGCACGGCAATGAGGGACATGGCTGCGAGTGATCCAGACGTGCTGCTCCGAACGACTAACCATGGCAGCAACTGCCTGCACATATCTTCCATCCATGGTCACCTAGAATTTTGCAACGATGTGGTCAGGCTCAAGCAGCCTCTCCTCGCCGCCGTCAACTCATACGGGGAGACGCCACTGCTCGCCGCCGTGGCAGCTGGGCATGCTGCTCTGGCTTCTGAACTGCTTAGACACTGCCGTGAATTGGGCTTCCGCGATGCAGTTCTGAAGCAGGACAGCGTCGGATGCAATGCACTGCACCATGCCATTCGCGGCGGCCACGATGACCTTGCGCTGGAGCTGATAGCTGCAGAGCCGGCACTGTCACGAGCCGTGAACAAGAACAACGAGTCGCCCATGTTCATCGCTGCGATGAGAAACTCCGCCGACATATTCGACAGGTTGCTGGCTATCCCGTATTCCTCTCATTCTGGGTGTGCAGGTGATCATGCTCTGCATGCTGCTGCGAGAAATGGGAATTCAGGTGAGAAATCTTCTCGCTGTTTTCATTCTTCTGTGATTGTTGTCGCCATGGCTGACATCTTGAAACCTGCTTTTTTCAGATATTGCTAAAAGGGTTATGGAGACGCGTCCATGGCTGGCCAAACTGCCAAACAGATACGGGTCAACTCCCATGCACCATGCGCTGCTTAGTGACCGTGTTGGCGTGCTACGAGTGTTGCTGGAACATGATTCTTCTTTAGGATACGTCGTAGCAGGCACAGAAGACGTTCCCCTCCTTGTTTCTGCCGCATTCCAAGGTCGTATCGGCATTGCTCGAGAGATTCTAAGCTATTGTCCAGATGCTCCCTTTCGCAGTAAGAATGGTTGGACATGCCTGAGTGCCGCTGTGCACGCAGACCGGCTTGAATTTGTCGAATTCGTCTTGGGGACACCAGAACTACAGAAACTGGTTAGCATGCGAGACAATCAAGGGAGAACTGCTCTGCATTATGCTGTCATGAAGTGTAATCCAAAAATAGTTGCCGCTTTGTTGTCGCATGGAGGCGCTGATGTCACGATGCTTGATAACTCCAGTAGTCCACCAAGCTGGAAATTATGGGGACTCGGGGATCACACTAAGACTTTGAACTGGGTATGTTATAGCCTCTCTCAAGTACTTTTTTTTCCTTAATATTACATCTGCTTATAATATTATAAATCATTTTGATTTTGGTCAAAGTCAAACTACTACAAATTTAACCAACTTTATACACAAACATACTAATATATACACAGTGGCGAAACTGAACAGATTGGAGGGGGGTGCACCACCTCAATATACACAGTGGCGAAGCTTAATAGATTGGAGGGGGGTGCACCACCTCAACCGTACATGTAGTGGCACACGGAATTTTTAAGGCATGCTATACAAGATAACGATAGACTATCAACTATAAAACATCATACTAAATGATGGCTAAGTATATGATAAAGATGTGATTAGAAATTCCTACTTTAAAATGTAAAGTGGGGCACAATAAAAAAGATGCTCAAGATTGTAAGGCACATTGAACCAATGTATTTGAGAGGATACGAAACAAAAGATTGAAAAGATATGTAAAACGAGGTGAGTTATTAACATATGATTAACTGAATATTAATTATTTCAAAATGAAAATAGATTAATATGAATTTTAAAGCAGTTACATACATACATACATACATACATACATACATACATACATACATACATACATACATACATACATACATACATACATACATACATACATATATATATATATATATATATATATATATATATATATATATATATATATAAACACACCGTTTATCATTTGGAGAGCATGCGTATGAAAAACAAAGGACTTTTGTCTCCCCTACGCTTCAACTAACGCACCTAGACTAGTTAAGTGGGAGTAATATATATTGGTGTGTGATAAAATTTAAAAGTCAAGGAGCTAGTGCCATAACTCTTCAAATTAAAATATTAATACTTAGCTGTGTTTAGTTCACGCTAAAATTGAAAGTTTAGTTGAAATTGGAACGGTGTGACGAAAAAGTTGGAAGTTTATGTGTGTAAGAAAGTTTTGATGTGATGGAAAAGTTAGAAGTTTGAAGAAATATTTTGGAACTGAACACGGGTTAGGATCGATCTGGAATACTACTCCACTTTCCTAAATCCCAGCGCAACAGTATAATTATTTAAATCCTAGAAGACTATCTAGAAACATTAAAATAATAAATAAATTGAATTCTATATTTAAACTTTAAGGTTTGATGTGAATAAATCAAACAAATTAAAAAAATAAGATCAGGAAGTTATATGCCCTTGCCTATATCCAATCAACATAAGCATATACTGGCGATAGACATGATCAGTAAAACGAAAAAACAAAATAACAAAGCAGTAGGCTCGTACGACAAGTGGCCTTGTGGCCGTGCGCTTGTTGTGCCACGCTCTGGCCAGTCGTTGGGGGTGCACGAAACTGAGCTAAGGGGGGTGCACATGTAGCAAAAACAGGGCATCAGCACTAAAAACAGAAATACAGAGGGTTCCTTTGCACCCCGCGAGGCTGTGTAGCTTTGCCCCTATACAATACCAAATTAGTTTAACTTAATTTATAATTGAATATATTTTTATAGTATATTTGTCATATGTTAAATATATTACTACTTTTTACTATAAACTCAAACTTAAAAACAGTTTGACTTTGACTAAAGTCAAAACGTCTAATAATCTGAAACGAAGGGAGTACATGCTTAATTTGAATCATTAAAAACTTTGATCACATATAAAAGCTAAATTATGAGGATTTGACATAAAAGAATCGTTGTACTCGTTCAACATGAAGAATAGTAACATGTCATCGCCACATTGTAAGAAATTTATGTTACCAACCACTTCACTGTTTCAAGAGTTACCAGATAATATAATGTTCGTTTGTGGCACCTTGATGTTATATTTAGAAATTAAGGCATAGCAAATGAACACTCTCAAGTGTGGCATAGATTCTCAAGGACCATAAATTTCACAAAACTACTAATATGTGGCTGGAACTTTCATTTTGCTACAAATTTAACTAGGTATGTTTCACAACATTGAAAAATAGCAAATAATTTCATAAAAAAAAGGTGGCAACTTAACCCCACCCCCCACAGCTACCCACTCATCTCCTTGATGAAGGTGTCATCTCAGGTTTTAAATGAAAATCTAGTCATGTTTTTGCGTGACTGTGACATAAGAGGATCAGACATTTCTTAAGGCGTTTTATGGAATTGGTGCATAATGCTCTATGTGTTTTGTCGTGGTTATGTATGGGTGAGTTGATGCTAGGCAACATGATATGCTCATGTTTGCCTTAGTTTATCTGCATGCGGACAATCTTCGTAAGATCACATGCAGATTCTTGCTTAGCCTCTTCACGCTGTATTTTTCAAGCGTATGCTTGCATTTATCCGTGAGGGTACTGTACCTGCATGCAAAGATTAGCGGATCTGTATGTCTTTTGCTTTTTAGGGGAAACTGTATGTCTAATTGATGCATCGACTAACATCAATATATCAAACTTGGCACCCTATTCTCTCCATATCGATTACTTTATTCTAGAACTGCATGCTCATAATAGAATTGGTTTAGTTGTTGTCATATCTATAACTAATAACAAATTTAGCATTATTATGCATATCAATTTTTGGTTCAATAATTATTGATAAATTGATCTTAGTTGCTTTTATTATTTGAATTTCTTTGCAGAATGAAGTGGCCATGCTTATGATGGAAGCTGATCCCCGAAATGCAACCTCTCTGCATTACCTTGCTATGGACGCAAAGATAAAAGTAACTAATGATTCGAGGACGAAAGCAATGTTTCCAACTCTGACAAACACAAGGAGCACTTCATTAGTGGCTATCATCATAGCGGCAATTACATTCGTCGCTGCTTTCACCTTACCTGGAGGATACAATACTGATGTTGGAAGCAGACACCCCATTATGGCAAAAAAGTTTTCACTTCAGGCTTTCTTGATCTCAGATACCTTAGCAATGTGTTCCTCATTTGTTGTCGCATTCATATGCATCATAGCAAAGTGGGAGGATCTTCGGTTCTTGCTTTATTACAGGTCTATTACTATGAAGCTAATGTGGTTTTCATACATGGCAACCATTATAGCATTTGCAACTGGTTTGTACACAGTTTTACCTTCTCATCTTCAATGGTTGGCTATAGCGATTTGTTTTGTGCCAGCTTTACTGCCCATCCTTACCAAGCTGCTAGGTGATTGGCCTATCTTGAAGCTCAAATTTCGGCTAGGTAAAATCTATAAGTCAGGCTTCATTGACATGGTGTGACTTCAATGATTATCCTTGTTTCCATTGTACCTTGCAAAATTAATATATTAAATTTAGATACTAATATTTATTTTGGCCTGCTACATTGTTAATGTTAGTTGTGGAATATGTCAAAATTCTAGCATGTACCCTCATGCTCCGGATATGGCATTTGTAAAATCGTGAGCAAACTACGCTTATGAATTAATGAATAAAATATTATTCTTGTTGTTTGAATTACCTATTAGTTATATTGCGTCCAACGAGTGTCTAACTATTTGTCAATTTTTTTGGTATCGGATAATACATATGGGCTAATATGATCAAATGATGATAAGCACATGTATTGTTTTATGATTATGTTTCATAGATCATATATAGAGTTTCAAATCAACAACGGTGTCCACAATATATGCCATGAGGGGGTCTTAAGTCTCTAGAGTGGATATTATACACTATAGAAGTAGTCCTTATAAGTAACCTTATTATGAGCTAGCATTATGTATAAAGACCGTACGAAATAAAAAATTATCTCTGTTCTCTCCCCTGCTATTGCCTCCTCCCTCCTGCTCCTCTCCCCTTGGTGAGACCCACCTTATTTCCTACTATCATATTCATATACATTGTGTAGGGTTTGCTACAACTAATACCACATGTTGTGGGACCCATCTATATAGATCACTTGGTGTTTGTATATTGTTGGTGCCCTAAGAGCATTTCCAACAGATGTACAAAATTAGAACCCCAAAAATTCTCTATTGGGAACAGCCAAAAAGGAATTTGGCGTAAAATGCACCCCCTTCTTCAAGAGGTGCCTAAAATGTTGGTTCCCAAAATTTTAAAATTTGCCACATCATCATTAGTGGGTCCTTCTCAACTAATTTTATAACAACCAGTGATTGATTGAGTCGTCTCCATACTGTTGCTGCATGCATGCACTTCGCCAGTCCCGTCGTTGGCCGTCCATGCCTTGTGGCATGAGGTGCCATGCAAATCTTTTCCAAGATCGCAACACGCGAGGGGACTAGGCCTGGTCAATCGCGAGATTGCGACTAATCCTAGTCGTGCACGAAATCACGACTGATACGGTTCGCAAGGCTATATGAGACGCATCGATATGATAACGAACGAAGGATACAGTGCTGCAGACGCACACAGAGCTGTTCCTCTGTCAGAGCCGGCGGCGTTAGCTTTTCGGTAAGCCAGGCAACGGCTGCAAGCAGCAACGAGCGAGCAGCAACTATAGGTGACAAGCACAAGCACTTGTACGGTGCGTATAAACCATACTAGTACGGTGCGTATAAAGTTTAACATTGATAAACTTAGTGCTTTGTAGTCTTCCCCAATATATGATGCCTTTCTTAGCAATACCAAGGGGTTTACTTAAGAAACTTGATTATTCCGCTCTAAATTCTATTGGCAGTGTGATGATGAAAAGAAAAAGAACCGTTTGACGAAGTGGAGTATTATGTGCCAACCCAAAGAATGAGTTTAGGAATTAATGATATAGATATGAAAAACACCACCCTTCTTAGCAAATGGTTATTTAAGCTACTCACGACTGATGGTGTGTATGGCAACAATTGATTCGTAATTAACAAGTACTTGGGCTCAAAACCTGTGTCACAAGTCGAGTAGAAAGCTAGGGACTCACTTTTTGGCAAATTCATTATGAGAAATGGTGCGCAAATCAGGTTTTGGGAAGAAGTGGTTGGGAGAAGCACCATTGTGAGAACAATATTGTTGTCGAAATGACAATAGCTTCACGTCAAAAGACGTGGTTCTCTCGGTGGAATTATTGAATAGTAAAACAATGTATTAATTGTTGAAATTTTTTGGGATCCCCCATTACATGCCCCTAGGGGCCATTTATAGTCTTAGTACAGACTCATACCCCTCTAGGGTTTAGTATGTACTGGGGAATTTACATTGATACCCTTATGATAGGGATATTAGTGAGGGCATATAGTGTCCATCCTAGCTACGTGCCCTTAGTCGGGCTTCACAGCCCGGCCTATCAATGGTGAATGACCTTCTTCGGCCGTGCCGCCCTTTAGGCATCTTTGGCGAAGACCACCCTTATTCAGGCGAACCTCACCTTCTTCACCTCGTGGATTCGCACGAAGTGAAGATCCGACGATGAGTCACGTAGGATTGGTGGTGAACTCTCTAGACTTCGCCCTCCGGCTTCGCCTGTGTGCTTCGCCCAAGGCAAACCCCTCGAATTCCAGCTATCGCCCCGCGTATGCAATTGCCTTGATGGTTTCAGCAGGTTTGGTCGAAGGCCCTCATAACATGCCTCCAACAAATATCCTTACATATACAATATAGTTAGGAATAAACATGATACTGTAGGAAAAGTGCTACAAAACTACCTTCCGAATGTATCTTGGCGAAGGGATCTTATTGAGCCAAAATTAGTGACATGGAATAACCTTCTTTCACGAATCGCTAACCTAATGCTTACTCAGAATTCACATTATCTTGCCTTGGTACATTCGGATGTGCCCCAGCATAAACAATGTAATTTGGAAATTAAAAAATACCACTTAAAGTCAAGATTTTCCTATGGTATTTGCGTCGTGGAGTAGTTTTGACAAAGGATAACCTGACCAAGCACAATTGGCAATGAAGTAAGAATTGTTGCTTTTACCACAAAGATGAGATAATATTACATTTGTTTTATGAGTGCAGATTTGCCCCTTCTGTGTGGTGCACTATTCAAGTGGGTATGGGGCTTTTCCCGCCTCGTGGTGTATCCAATATGGTTGGTAATTGGCTACGGGAAATTAGGAAAGACTTGAAGTCGCTTATCCTGTTAGGGGTAGCCACTATTTGTTGGTCATTATGGTTTTGCAGGAATTATATTGTGTTTGACAAAAGAAAATTCTCTTCTCTTTTATTGGTTATTTTTTAACTATCCACTTCCTTTGTACCTGGGCTATCCTTCAGAAGTCTGGTTCATGGGGATTTGGTTGCAGCGGTGTGTCAACACTTGGAGCAGATTAGGGAGTTCTTTTTACCAGGAACATGGGTAGCGGTCTAGCTTGAAGATTGGTGCTCTCTAGATTTTCTTTTTTTTTCTTTACTTGTTTCAAACTATTTTATGGGTGTGTGTGTTTTGGTTGTGTGTATCCTAGTTATGCAGAGACCGGGAGTTTTCTTAGTATGGTTTTATCAACTTGATTTACCAATCTGAGATTAATAAAAGCTTTCTTTATCATTAAAAAAAAGTAGTAGCACTAAGTAATCTTGGCTTTTTTTTCATTCATCTAAGGCCTTGTTTAGTTCCTAATTTTTTTTCCCAAAAACATCACATCAAATCTTTGGACACAAGTATGGAGCATTAAATATAGATTAAAAGAAAAACTAATTGCACAGTTTGCATGAAAATCGCGAGATAAATCTTTTGAGCCTAATTAGTCCATGATTAGCCATAAGTGCTACAGTAACTCACATGTTCTAATGGCGGATTAATTAGGCTTAATAAATTCGTCTCCCGGTTTCCAGGCGAGTTATGAAATTAGTTTTTTCATTCGTGTTTGAAAACCCCTTCCGACATCAGGTAAAACATATGATGTGACATCCAAAAATTTTCTTTTCGCGAACTAAACACAGCCTAAGGATGTAACAACAAAGAGTGCTGAGCCGCTGACAAAGAAAACCTTGACAAGTTGACTTTAGCACGCTGATCGAAACATGCTTCCATGCATGTTGATTGCTCAAAACAAAAGTGTGACCAACTTAAAAATGTGGGCCTCATTTGTCAATGAGAGCAATGGCTGTTAGAGTTATAGATAATCCTGCTGTTTTTACCTCAATTTGTCAGTACTGTAGCGCATCTAGCGTTTTTTCAGTTTTTCAGTTTTTCTGTTAGAGTTCCTCTTTTCCCATTTTAGTGGAGCCGATGCCTCCCTGCTTATATGCATTATGGAGCTAAGACTCTGTCAGAAGCTCAAATATACGTGATGGCCCATATGCAAGAAATCAAATGAATAAGAAAAGAAGAGGAAATTAGATTGGGAACTTGGATATAAAACCAAAGAATAGAATTTAGCAACTACTACTATGGTCAACCGGCTTGTGTAGATGCATGCATGCGTTGAGAATTGAGCCTATATAGGACTTGGGTTTAGCCTTGTGGACCCTTGTGCAGACCTTTTTCAACGCAGGAGGCAACGGAGTAGTATTAATTATAGAGTCAACGTGTAATCAAGCGCACCAGAGGACGCACAATCGCACACGGGGGCGAAGGTAAAAGATATGTGGGGCATACTAACATATACTCCTCAGGTTTCATTTTAATTGATGTTTTGGATATTGACATGGACTACAAAATATATCTTTGACCTTATTTTTCTATTATAATATACATAATAAATAAATGTATGTTTACTTTTATTATAATGCTTTGAAAGACAAATCTATATATGTTGTTCTAGTTTCTTTAGACTAAATATTTTTAAAGTTATTAATGATCAAAGTTATAAAAGTTTGTCCACAAACTTGTTCAAAACGTCAATTATTATAGAACCGGAGAGAGTATGTATTATTAACTATCTCCTCACTTGTAGTGTTTGGTTTGGAGACGAGGTGGGATGGGTTAGGTCCATCCCTGTTTTTTGGAATGGGATGATCCTGTTTTTTTTGTTTGGTTACGAGGATAAAACAAACCATGTTTTTTGAGAGACATAATGGGATGGAATGATCCTGTACATTGTTTGGATGGAGGGATGAAGGTGGGATGCTTGATAGGGTTACCTATTGATATTAGTTGGTGAGGTTACCCTCAACTAGTCATGAACACCACACAGTGCAAAATAATACTTAGTCATGAACACCACACTATTTGAAAATGACCATTGTGAATTCCGTTTGTTCACAAACGATATAGCTCCATAAGTTATTAAAAAATATTAAAACTCCATCTATGCCCATCCTGATTGCTACAGCAGCAGAAGGTTCACAGTGCACATAATACAAGTCAAACATAATAATAGCAAATTTTAGTCTTACATATAATAGCAACTTAAGGGCTTACACATGATAGCATATTTAATTCTTGCGCATGATAGAAATTTTAAGTCTTACTCGTACTAGTAAGTTCGATGCCTCAAACATATTGGCAATTTAAGTCTTACATAATAGGTAAATAAGCCAACCAACAACACATAACACCAAAAGAACTATCCAACTCATCCAAGAAACCTATGTTGATCCAGGGAACTTTTCACTAATGAACATAGCAAACCAATGCATCTTGTTTTCAAATGGAAGTCCATTGAAAGCTCTAGCAATGTGATGGTTGGCAACCAAATGAGCATAATAAAATAATCTGTGGACCTCCTCAAAACCAGGAAGGGTTTTCAATGTGTCAAATAAACCTTCTGGAAGCTTATTGTCCGGCTCGGTGACCTTTAGTATAGCAAAGGCAAGCTTGTCACCAACACTAGTGAATGCACTAATCAGCCCGTCATCTTCATTCTCTTGCGTTTTGGATTTTTTTGGCTTACTTGCAGATGACGCCTCCGCACGATCATCAGTAGTTGCAGGACCATCATTTTCTTCATCATTGTCAACTTGGACATCCTCTATTCCTAGGACTGAACTTGAGTCCTTTGCATACATTCCTGTAGCCATGGTGCTACCAAATATTGTAAGCATCTCACCATAGTGTGCAAGAGGTTTGTTAAAATAATCCGCATCGGCCTTGTGATCCTTCATGAAACAAAAGTTATTGTATAAGCAAATGGAATAAAAGTTATAAAAATAAAACAAAGATCCCACAAGGTAAGACATATACCTCAATATAACCATTATAGTGCTCATCATCAAGAGTAATAATAAATTTTTTCTCATCCCAACTAGCAGAACTCACTTTCCTGAGCCTATTTTTCTTCGTAAACTTTCTTTGCCATGTCTTCAAATGGTTCTTAATTTGCTCACCTGTGAGAGTACTATTGAACCTTTCATTGATTGCCCTAGCACATGCGTTGAGATGGACTGCCTTGAAGCCAGATGAGGTCCTTGTGCCACCAGCAACAACATTAGCTAGGTGAGAAAGCATGAAAGAGGATATAGCTGAGGTCCATGAAGCATGGGTGCTTACTCCCTTGCTACTGTTGCTGTCCATTTCCTACCTATCATAAAATGAAACAAAAATGTTCATTCAGTAATATAAATATATATATATATATATATATATATATATATATATATATATATATATATAAACTATGCATGCAACAATATATCAACCCAAAAAATTACCATTCAGCAATATATCTGATCCAAAATTCAGAATTCAGCAACATATCAACCCAGAAATTCAGAATTCAGCAACATATCAACCCAGAAATTCAGTATTCAGCAACACATCAACCCAGAAATTCAGTATTCAACATGTCAACCCAAAAAATGACCATTCATGTCACGCCCGGAATTTCTATCCAAAATTCCAAACGCTTATATGTGTGTGAACCCTCATCCAGGAATCAGCCGAGGCACACAATAACAAATTGATAATAGAGTACAATTATTACTCTAATTAATAAGCGAATAAAATGTCATTACAGAGGTAGATAGTTCCTCCCAATCAATAAAGATCTAAGCAGCGGAAAATAAGATAAATGGCGCAGACGACTCCACTCCACAGGCAGCTTGACCAGGGCTACACCTAATCCTCCACACCATCAGCATCACTGTAGAACTCTTCCTCTGATGAATGATTGCAAGGTGAGTATATGACATACTCAGCAAGCCACGCAGCAAATATGCAAGTGCACAGGATAACAAAGGATGGCATAGTAGGGTTTCATTTGCATAAACAGCATTTAATAAACATTTCAGAATTTAATAAAACAGTTAAGTAATAATTAAACAATATTAATCCAACACTATACAACATACCCTGTTGCATAGGCCCAACCATTCTGAATAACCATCCCGGCTGCACAGTTCTATCTCCAAACCAGGAATATACTATTCCAAACCAGGAGCTAAACAAATTATTACCAGTTAAAGCATCTTTTATTATGATGAGAAGTGTGAGACTAATCACGAAAGACATTGTTAGACCCGCCCATAACCGCGGGCACGGCTATTCGAATAGTTTTACTCTGGCCAGAGGTGTACCACTGTACCCACAAGACACAGCCCCACATCATGTCACCATGTGCCTCAATACCACCACGGTACCTCGGAAAGGAGCTGTGACAGTACCCCTCGCACAACACAATCCACCACAGCGCACCTGTCCTGGATCATAATCACCCCCTTATAAACAAGGCATGGACTCCCCAGCGACCCCCGTGGGCTTATCTCCGCCACTTCTCAGTCTAGTGCTCCGCAATGAACCATGCTATACAAAAGGTAAAGCCGTTGCCCACGCTGGCTTGTGGTTGGCACAGTTAATGTTTCACAACCGAAACTCGTGAACCGGTCCTTAATTGTCATGAGCACGACCATCAAAACCATGTGCTCACAACCCACCATTATCAAGTTTTAGTTGGCAAGTAATTAATTAACCAATCACGATTGACCATCGTGAACTATCATTAAGCCATCCTTAAATAATAGTGAGTCATAAGTTATCCCAATAGTGCGCTAATGTTTCTAAGCATGGCTAAGCAATCATATCTAATATCTAGCTGAACCAATATATACAGCTCAACTAGTCAGGTTTTAATAACCCCAGGGTATCAAGGAATAAAGTAATCAAGAACAAAAATGGCTATAACAAACAATAGGTTAATTCCACCCAATGACATTCGAAAATAAATGCAATAGTTGAATAGAAACAGTAGCTTTAAACGGGATCAACATGCTCAAAGGGTTGTTTGGGATCTGTGTGACTTGCCTTGCTGGCCTTGGAACTCTTCAAATTCTTCTCCTGCGAAAACGGACTCTCCGGAAACGTCGGAATCTAAGCAGAAAAGAGCAAAAACACCAAAATAGCACATAAACAATCATGAACAGTACATGTGGATATTTTTAACATGTAGATCTCAATTTTAGAAAAAATTAGAGACTTGAACCAACTAAATCTGAGCTAAGATAAATTAGTTATGAATTTTTGAAGTTTAAATCGGATTAAAACACTTATATGGATTTTAATTGAATTATGACGCAATAATGAATTATTTTTGAAAAGGAAAAAGGGTTTATTGCGTCATCGGCTAGGGTTTGCGGTGGACCGGGTGCACGGCGACGGCTCACGGAAACGAACGGCCTAGATCGATCCTATCCAACACGGACGGCCGAGATCGAACGGTCCATGACCGGGCCACGGCGGACGGTCTCGATGACGTCAGCGGTGACGTCACCTCCGGCGGCGGCTCGGGAGCACAAGCTCGCCGGCGAACGACGGCGCTACGGCACAAACGGAGGGCACCAGGACGATGCGGGCATTGCGGCGAACTCACCGGTGACCAAAGCAACGGCGGAGGAGCAACGGACGACGTCGGCGACGAGGTCGAAGCGGCGGAGACCTTCGGCTTGACGACGACGGCGGTGCTCCGGCGGTCTACAGCGACGGCGAAGGGGCGGACGAGGACGGCGGCGACTTGGCGACCACGATGGTGACCTCCCCGAGCGACGACGACGACCGGAACAGCGGCGACGCACGGCTGGAGCGGCGGCGACGACTGCGGCACGAGATCCACGGCGCTAGGGCTCTTCCGACGGTGAGAGACGAAGGCGAGGGTGGCGGCGGGTAGAGGAGACACCGGGGATCCTTTTAAAGGGGCAAGAAGGCAGCGGCGAAGGCCCACGGCGACCGGCGACACGAAGAAAAGGTTAGGGTTCGGAGAGAGGGAGACCGATCCGAATCGACCTCGAATCCACGGATTTCCAAAGCGATTTAGACGATGATTCCAAAAGAGAAAAGGTAGAGGAGATCCCGAAGATCATTTCCCCTCTATTGATTTCACCGGAGAAGGAAAGGGGCGGCCGAATTTGGAAAGCGGCGGCGGCGGCTCGGCGCTAGGGTTTCGGCCGGAGGAAGACGATGACTCCGACAGGCAGGACCCACCTGTCAGCGGCAGCGAGCTCGCGCGGGCGGCTGCGGCTGCGGACTGGGCCGACTTGGGCCGGGGAGAGAGAGAGAAAAGGTTTTGGGCCGACTTTCGGCCCAAAGCCAAAAGAGACTTTTAAAAACCTTTTTCAATTTAAATTATTCATGAAATGCAATTCCATTTATTAAAAATACTTTCTTAGCTCAAATAAATCCCCCATTTTATATTGGAATTTATTAATTAAAATTAGATCTTCTCTTCTAGGCTTTTAAAATAAATTCTAATAATTCCATTTAAACAACAATTTATATATTTAGGATTTTTAGGGTGTGACAAACCTACCCCCTTAAACAGAATCTCGTCCTCGAGATTCGGAAGAACTGGCAAACAGATGCGGATGGGCTGACTTCAATTCATCTTCTCGTTCCCAAGTTGATTCTTCTTCCGAGTGATTACTCCATTGGACTTTGCAAAAACGGATAACTCGATTTCTGGTTCTTCTCTCATCTATTTCCAAGATACGGATTGGTTTCTCAACATAGGTCAGATCCTCTTGGACTTCTATCTGTTCAAGATTAGCTTCTTCGGTAGGTATCCTTAAACACTTCTTCAATTGCGACACATGGAACACATTATGGACTCCTGCCAAAGATTGAGGTAACTCCAACTGATAAGCAACCTCTCCTCTTCTACTGACAATCTTATAAGGTCCCACAAAACGCGGTGCCAATTTTCCTTTGGTGTGAAAACGATGAACTCCTCGAAGAGGCGTGACACGAAGGTACACATAATCTCCTTCGTCAAAACTTAGATCCCTACGACAATTGTCGGCATAACTCTTATGACGAGACTGGGCCACACGCAATCTTTCTTGAATGATTTTCACCTTTTCTTCTGCTGCCCTCAGGATATCCGTCCCGAAAACCTAACGTTCTCCCGTTTGATCCCACAAAAGCGGAGTGCGACACTTACGACCATACAGTGCTTCGTAAGGAGCCATCTGAAGACTAGCTTGATAACTGTTGTTGTACGAAAATTCTGCATAAGGTAGATTCTTATCCCAACTTCCACCGAAGTCTAAAGCACAAGCTCTCAACATGTCTTCCAAAATCTAATTTACCCTTTCGGTTTGTCCGTCTGTCTGTGGATGATAAGCAGTACTAAAGTTCAGCTTAGAACCCATCTCTTCCTGAAGCTTCTTCCAAAAATTTGAAGTAAACTGACTGCCTCGATCAGACACTATTTTCTTAGGGACGCCATGCAAACACACAATCCTTGCCATATACAATTCCGCCAACCGACTTCCAGAATATGTAGTCTTTATTGGGATGAAATGAGCCACTTTGGTAAGTCTATCGACTATCACCCAAATAGAGTCATGGCCAGATGACGTTCTGGGTAGACCAGTGATGAAATCCATTCCGAGTTCCTCCCATTTCCATTCAGGAATCTTCAAAGGCTGTAGCAAACCTACGGGTTTCTGATGTTCTGCCTTGACTCGCTGACAAACAACACATACTGCTACGTATTCTGCGATTTCACGCTTCATACTTGCCCACCAAAATCTTTCCTTGAGATCCTGGTACATCTTGGTACTACCAGGGTGAATGGAGTATAAAGTATCATGGGCTTCCTTTAGAATTGCGTCTTTTAAGTCTTTGTTGTCTGGGACGCAGATTCTCTCACCCAACCATACAGTTCCTTGCTCATCTTCCAAGAAACCGATAGCTTTTCCTCTTCTCATATTCTTCTTGATTTCTTGAATATCAGGATCATTAATTTGGGCTTCTCTAACTTGATCAATTAGAGTGGGCTTTGCTTCTAAGGCTGCAACGAAACCTCTACTGACAATTCCCAAATTTAATCTTTCAAATTCCTTACATAACTCCAATGGCAACTGTCGTCCTTCCGTAGCATTGCAATAGCCTTTCCTGCTAAGAGCATCTGCTACAACATTAGCCTTTCCCGGGTGATAATGAATTCCCATGTCATAATCCTTAATTAATTCCAACCATCTCCGTTGTCTCATGTTCAGATCTGGCTGAGTAAAGATATACTTTAAACTCTTGTGATCGGTATACACCTCTGTACGAGTACCGAAAAGATAATGACGCCAAAT